TAGAGACTCCATCAAAAAACTACTAGACTTAATACATGAATTTGGCAATGTAGCAGGATACAAAATTAACCCCAAGAAATCTGTGGCATTTCATTTCTATATACCAATAGTGAACTTTCAGAAAGAGAGATTAGAAAAACAATCACACCAAAAAAATTAAGGAATAAACTTAACAAAGAGGTTAAAGACCTCTACTCAGAAAACTACAGGACGCTGAAAAAAGAGATAGAGGAAGACATAAACAGATGGAAGAACATACCATGTTCTTGGATTGGTAGAATCAACATCATTAAAATGTCCATACTACCCAAAGCAATCTATAAATTCAACGCACTTCCCATTAAAATACCAATGGCCTTCTTCAAAGATCTAGAACGAACTCTCCAAAAATTCATCTGGAATAAAAAAAGACCCCGAATAGCTGCAACGATCCTGAGAAAGAACAAAGTAGGTGGGATCTCAATGCCAGATATCAAACTGTATTACAAAGCCACTGTTCTCAAAACTGCCTGGTACTGGCACAAGAACAGACATATAGACCAGTGGAATAGAATAGAGAGTCCAGAAATTAGCCCAAACCAATATGCTCAATTAATTTTTGACAAAGGAGGCATGAACATACAATGGAGCCAAGATAGTTCTTCAATAAATGGTGTTGGGAAAATTGGACAGATATATGCAAGAAAATGAAACTAGACCACCAACTTACACCATACACAAGAATAAACTCAAAATGGATAAAGGACTTAAATGTACGACAGGAAACCATAAAAATTCTAGAAGAATACAAAGGCAACAAAATCTCAGACATATGCCAAAACAATTTCTTCACTGATACAGCTCCTAGGGCAGTTGAAACTAAAGAGAAACTGAACAAATGGGACTACATCAAAATAAAAAGCTTCTGCACAGCAAAAGAAACCATCAACAAAACAACAAGAAAACCCACCTCTTGGGAAAACATATTTGCCAACGTCATATCTGATAAGGGCTTAATCTCCAAAATTTATAGGGAACTCATACAACTTAACAAAAAGAAGATAAACAATCCCATCAAAAAATGGGCAAAGGATCTAAATAGACACCTTTCAAAAGAGGACATTCAGAAAGCCAAGAGACATATGAAAACATGCTCAAAGTCACTAATCATCCGAGAGATGCAAATCAAAACAACAATGAGGTAGCATCTCACACCTGTCAGAATGGCCATCATCAACAATTCAACAAACGACAAGTGCTGGAGAGGATGTGGAGAAAAAGGAACACTTGTGCACTGCTGGTGGGAATGCAGACTGGTGCAGCCACTATGGAAGGCAGTATGGAGGTTCCTCAAAAAATTGGAAATGGAACTCGCATTTGACCCTGTGATCCCACTTCTAGGAATATATCCCAAGAAACCAGAAACACCAATCAGAAAGGATATATGCACCCAGATGTTCATAGCAGCACAATTCACCATAGCTAAGATCTGGAAACAGCCTCAGTGCCCATCAGTAGATGAATGGATTAGAAAACTGTGGTACATCTACACGATGGAATACTATGCTGCTGTTAAAAAGAAGGAACTCTTACCATTTGCAACAGCATGGATGGAACTGGAGAGCATTATGCTAAGTGAAACAAGCCAGTCAGTGAAGGAAAAATACCACATGATCGCACTCTTTCATGGATAATTAAGACCATTACAAACTTTTGAACAATAATAAATACAGTGGCAGAGCTGCCTCAAACTGTTTGACGGACTGCAGTGGGAAGGCCAGGGAGGGTAGGGGGACAGGAGGGAGGGGAGTAAGAGATCAATCGAAGGACTTGTATGCATCCATATAAGCATAACTAATGGACATAAGACACTGGGGGGTAAGGGAGGGCAGGGGCTTGTCAAGGGCGGGGGAAAAAAGGACACTTATGTAATACCCTTTGTAATACTTTTAGCGAAAAAAAAACTGTAATGTTGCTACTGTTATGAATTGTAATGTAAATATCTGATATGCAGGATGGTCTTAGGCAACCCCTGTGAAAGAGTCGTTCGACCGCCAAAGGGGTCGCGACCCACAGGTTGAGAACCGCTGTCCTAGAAGGTCCCTGAGCCCAGACATCTCCCAGGCACCCACACAGGAATGGCTGAGCCCTGACCCTTCCCAGAGTGGCTGCTGGGAGGAGGGCTGTGCCTTTCAGGCAGCCATGGGGTGGGAGTGGGGGGGCGGCGGGGCAGGGGGAGGGGCGGGGGTGCAGGGAGCCTCTGCCCAGACCCACAGTCCAGGGGCCTGACCCTGGCTGACCCAGGTGATGGAGAGGACTTGCCGGGCTCTGGCCCAGGCACTGCCTCAGTTTGCTTATGTCTACACATCACTGTGCTCTGCTGCAGCAGGGCAGCCAGGCGGTTCTAGAATTCTCTCTTAGGAGGTCACAGAGTCTGTCACAGAGGAAAGGGCGGGGACCTCAGATTCAAGAACCCCACCTTCGGGGCAGACTCTCACTCTGAGCATCGGTGACGATGAAGAAGCAGCAGTCCTTCTGTTCTCCTGGGGTCTCGAGACCCCCCTCTCCCATCCCCCTTTCCCCTGCCTCTTCCTCCTCTCCTGTTCCCCTCCACCCCTGCCAACGGCCTGGCCCTCCTCCTGCTCCCCCACCTGGCCCAACCAGGTTCCCATCTCTCACCAACAGGTTCCCTCCTCTCTCGGGAGCCCGCAAGGCTGGCAAGCCGCAGAGGGGCCCTAGGGTCCCCTGCTCCCCCTGCCCTGCCAACCCCCCGTCTCCCCTTTCCATCCACCCTGTCCGCCTGGCCTCCCTCTCTTCCTTTGCCCCACACCCCCCTTCTGGTCCTTCTATGGCCTCCAGCCACCGGGACAGATGGCTCCCCAACCCCTCCCCTCCTGCCCAGTCCCCACTTCCCTCCATAGCCCGTCCTTTGGGCTACCCTAACAACTGTGCCAGGGGCCAGGAGTCCCTGCCATTGGGCACCCAGACCTTTGAGAGCTGGGTCCCTTCCAGGCGACAGGCCCCTTCTGCCCGCAGGGAGCAGAATGCGAATGCGGTGGGCAGCAGCCACAGGTAATCCTGGGGGCCCCGGCTGTCCAGGGAGCCCTGGCTCCACAGTGAGCTCTTAGCCATGTCGCCTGTGAGCCCGTGTCAACTGGTGGAGGATGGGCCACAGGCCAAAGAAAATGCAACAAGCTACTGTGTGTCCACTCGTGGGCCCTCCAGGCTCTCAGAGCCGCCATTAGAGGGGGTGGCTGGGCTGGGCTGGGCGGACTCTGGGCACCTTTCCCTGCCAGCTGCTTCCCCCCCATGTGGCCAAGCACAGTCCCTCATTCAGAAGGAGCGAGTGCCCCGTGCCTGATAGAAAACGCACTCCCCAAACCAGCCTCCCTGGGAGACAGTGACTAGGGGTCCCTCTGGCAGAGCCAGGGCTGGGGGGCGTGGCCGTGGGGGTGAGGAGGAGCCCTGCTGTGAGGCACTGGGGCCTGGAGGAGGGAGGGGCTGGGACCCTCTGGGCAAAGTGACCATTCACTGTGGTCCTCGGTGTGGCTGGCCCTCCACACAGCTGGTCAGGGCCTGTCCTGCAGCGTGGAGGGGGGGGAGGGGGGAGGGGGGAGGGGTGGGGGGGGGAGCGAGAGGGTAGGGGGAGGTGTAGGGGGGAGAAGGAGCGAGGGGAGGTGGAGCGAGGGGAGGGGGAGGGGGAGCGAGGGGAGGGGGGAGGGGGAGCGAGTGGATGGGGGAGGGGGAGCAAGGGGGGGAAGGGGAGCGAGGGGAGGGGGGAAGAGGGGGGAGCGGGGGTGGGGGGCAGAAAGAAGCGCTGGGTTGGGTTGGGGGGAGCTGTAGGGAGATGAGGGCTGTGTGGAGGGGGCTTCCACTCTCTTCCTGCCCCCTGGCAAGACCCCGGGGGACCAGGGCTACTCCCGCTTCCCACCTGTGGGCACAGGGAAAGAAAGGCCAGACCTGCACGAAATAAGAGGGACCCACGTGTAAACCCCTCTGTCTGCCCAGCTGGACAAGACAGCTTGAGACTGGAAGGCCACAAACTGGAAGGCCAGAAGCCGGGAGGACGGCCCTCCCTTCTTCCCTTTCGAAAGGTGAGTCTGGGGGTGCTGACTGAGCGTGGGGAGGGGACCCCTGAAAACTCACCAGCCACCAGCTGCCTGCCCCTCCGAGGCACGCAGTCTGGCTGGCTTTCTGGATGCAGGCTGGGTGCTCAGCGTCCAGGATGGCGCTTTCTTTTGTCCCCTGTAGGCGTCTCAGTCTTGAACACCGGCTGCCTGCAGGGTGCAGTCATGCTCTGAAGACACACCTGGGACTGCACCCCTTCCTCAGGATCCGCAGCCTCCGCCGGCCACAGGAGCCCAGCTCTCCTGTCCAAGGCCTACACGCCTTCACGTGAGTCACTCCTCAGTGAGTGCAGCCTGTCAGGGCCCCCGGCCTTCAGCTTCGCCTCCTGTGCCAGGAGCAGGCATGCAGATGGGCAGTGTCAGGGTCTGTCCCCAGGACCTGTCCTCTCTTTGTCCACCCGCTCTACCCCGAGGGCAGCCTCCGCTGGGCCTGGGCCAGGAACAGGCCAAGCACCAAGTCCGAACCTGCCCGGAGGCTCCATGTCCCAGCCCTGCAGGCAGGACTCCGGGCCTCGAACCCAGGGGGCAGCATGGCTCTGGCTCTCCGGTGGCTGCAACCTATGCCATTGGATCAGGACAGGACAAGAACCAACGCCCTGACCCTGCGCTCAGAACAACAGCCTGCCCTGCCCGCCAGGCCACCTGTGACACTCTTCACCTGACTCATGGCCCCCAGGTCCTCTTGTCCATTCTCCGCACACACGCCCATACCTATGCACACCCATGCACACACGGGCACGTGCATTCAACGCACGCACACACACACAGAGCTGCTCTCCAAATAGGGTAAGGGCTGCTTTCAGACACGTATGGCTCTGTACCCCTGGCTCCTTCTTTTTCTTGATGGGGAAATGGGCACATGTGGGCCTGGCTACTGCCAGAGACACACAGGCCCGTGTGCTTTGGGGTCAAGGAGCCCTCCGGCCTCCTGCTCAGTGGCCTAGAAGATATGGCTGTGATGACTGTGATGGAGTCAGTGCTACGAGGCCCTGCCAAGGCATTAGGGGTGAGTTAATGAAATGTTTGACCAAATATAGCAGGCTCATTTTTAAGTTGATAATTTTATGTGGCCCTCAAATGATGTTATAAATATCCAAATGGCCCTTGGCAGAAAAAAGGTTCCCCACCCCTGCCTCAGAAGTTTATGTTGTTGACTGGGTTAAGGACCCTCCTCTGATTCCTTATCCCCTCAGAGGGATTTCCTAAAGTGGTAGGGATGGTTAAGCTGGTAGCCAGTGAGCTCAAGAAGCAAGAATTAACAGTTTTGCTCTTCACATTTAAGACTAGCCATTCTCTTCAAGTCTGTTTGCATTTTGGTCTGAGGTTAATTTAATTCAAAAAGAAAGAAAATGACCTTCCGCTTAGCACTTCTTTGTTGATGTTTACATGACTTACTATTTCAGGCAATTAAATATAGTACTCATACAGGAAGATTATGTTGTGGTAGACAATATAACCAAAAGGTACGTGTTTAATGTGTGTACACGTATCCTTTGAGTATTAGGGGGTAATACATATACCTATCCTTAGTACTCTGCTAATATATTACTGTACACTTGCAAAAGAGAACTCTGTGCCTTAGCACTAACACTGGGAAGCCTCTACTTTTATTCCAGGCTTGAATGTGGAATTACTTAAAGGATTTTGAAATACAACCTTGTAAATTCTATAGAATTATCCACTGAGTAAAAATTTAATTAGTTAGATTTGAGAAACCTGAACAATAATAGTTTGAATTTCAATTCCTTAACAGCACAAAAGCAGTTTATGTGAGAGTAATGTTGTACATAAAGCACAAGAATTTGATGGCTGAATAGAACATTTTTGAGGTTAGCTGATATTTACTGCGGTATTGATTTATTGAGGGGAAAAAAGAGCAGAATTTTCCCATTATTAGGTTGTTATTCTTTCATGTTGTGTATTATTTAATTTACATGACCTGCACTTATTTGACACTCTTCTAAGTTTTGAGTAGTTATGCTATAATTTTAAACTATGTAACTTATCTGTTTAAGAGAATTATTTTCACTTTACATAAAAAATATTTTTTTAAAATATATTTTATTGATTTTTTACAGAGAGGAAGGGAGAGGGATAGAAAGTTAGAAACATCGATGAGAGAGAAACATCGACCAGCTGCCTCCTGCACATCTCCCACTGGGGATGTGCCCGCAACCAATGCACGTGCCCTTGACCGGAATCGAACCCGGGACCCTTCAGTCCGCAGGCCGACGCTCTATCCACTGAGCCAAACCGGTTCCGGCAACTTTACATAAAATTTTTATTTCCAAATTCATCAAATGGAAGTATTTTCTTTTTCTATAAAATAGAGACAGCAAAAGTAAAATGCTTTTGGTATTTTAACATTTGATCTGTTTTCGAGGTGACACCCAAAACTCATGTTACATATTAGATTTTATAAAGATTAGGTAGGCTTTTTGTGAAAGAGAAAGTATGATCTTGCAAACAGGTTTTCAGTAACTGTTGACTTATATTTGGTTCTGCTGAATTTTTGGCCTTGATTTAGGCAGCTAATCCAGGTTGCTGTCTGGAAGACTTTGTGAGGTGGTACTCACCCCGGGATTACATTGAAGAGGAAGTGATTGATGAAAAGGGAAACACGATTCTGAAAGGAGAACTGAGTGCCCGAATGAAGATTCCAAGCAACATGTGGGTGGAAGCCTGGGAAACAGCTAAGCCAGTTCCTGCCAGAAGGCAAAGGAGACTCTTTGATGATACGCGGGAAGCAGAAAAGGTAACTGAGGTTTGGGTATCTAACACTAAAGTGGTAGTTACTGTTCTAGCATTTTAAAAACTCACTATCATAGACATGAGAAGCAAAGCATTGAAATTTAATGCGCCTTTTATGTGTCTACTATTTACACTTAAGATTTTAGAATTAGTTGCAGTTAGGCCCCAAAATAAGATATCCATATTTTATGTAGAATGCTTACCATTGGACTGTCTCATCTCACAGCATATATCAAAAACCTTAAAAAAATGGTCATGTCCTTTGACCTAGCAATTCTACCACCAAGAAATTTATTAAGGAAATAATGAGAAATATGTAAAGGTCAATGTACAAGAATGATGTTCAGCAAAGTTTTTTAGTGAAAAGTGCATATAACCAAAGTTACCAAAAATAAGCTTGGTTCGATAAATTATGGTATGATCATTTAGTGAACTGCTCTTCAATTACTAAAAAATATTTGGAATTCTAATGAATAATGGTAGCTGCCTGATATCAAATTGCCCCACATACCCTCCTACCCACCATCCACTGGCCTCCCAAATAATCCCATGCACTTAATAAGTAATAAATAAATCCATGCCTTAAGCATTACTAGGAGACAGAGATTACAGTGACCCTCAAATTAAAACTATAAGTAGAGAAACAAGCCAAATTCCAATGGAGTTCCTATTGCTGCAGGAGAGTGTGGACAGGGACTTTTAAGAAGAGCTGAGGGATACAGACGGAGCACAGAGTCACCCCAGAAAGAGAGAGCTTACCACTGGGGGCCAAAGTACTTGGTACAGGTAGAGCTTGATAGTTCACAGCATGGCTACAGGGAGAGGCTTAAAGTAAGCTGGATGAGAAGTGAACACTCAGAGATACTGTCTTGGGAAACCAGATATATAGAGAAGGGTTGATACCCCTTAGAGATAAAGAAATGATGGGAAAGAAGGAAATGAGAGGGAAACTAAGGATCATGCAGAAGTGAAAGACAAACAAGGCTTATCAACTGCCTGGCCAGTGTGGCTTGGTAGAGTGTCGATCTGTGAACTAGGAGGTCACAGTTTGATTCCCGGTTAGGGCACATGCCTGGGTTGCGGGCTCAATGCCCTGTAAGGGGCGTGATTCTCTTTCATCAATGATGTTTCTATCCCTCTCTCCCTCATCCTTCCTCTCCCAAATCAATAAAATAATAAAAGAAAAAAACCAAAAAAATAACATCAACCTCCCTCATCTTCTGCTGGCCTTTAAAGAAACTGCAGAAAAGGGGCACTTTCAAATTGTGGTATGAGTAGGTATACTAAAGAGCAGACCACATCCATACAAAAGTATAAAAAAACAAAATGCAGGTGGGTCAGTTAGCCAATGAAAACATTTCCCAGAAAATTGACCATGAAGCAGAAAATTGTTAACAACACACCATACATACTGAATCAGATATCTTTAAACAAGCATGGGGGATATGAAAAATCACTTTTAATCAGAAATACTAAAACCAAGAGAAAAAATGGACCCCAAAACTCTGCAAAGTAGTGAAACCACAGCTGGTTTAACTCAATATAGAAATAGAAGAAAAAGATACCATATCAAAAATAAAGACTAAATGACAAGGGGCCCAAGAGAGAGTAGATTCATATTGAAATATAATAAAAGGCGTCAAGAAAAAGTGGCAAAAGGACTAAAGTGGGTTGGAGAGAAAGTAGTAGAAATGGAAAATAGGAAAAGTAGGAATAATACTCATTTTATCAGAGTCCTTGAAGAAAAATCAAAACACTAGCCCTGTTAGGTGGCACAGTTGGTTGGAACATCATCCCGCACACCAAAAGGTTGTGGATTTGATTTCTGGTCCAGCACATACCAATCAATGTCGCTCCCTCTGCCTCTTCTCTTTCTTCCTCTCCCTCCCTTCCTCTCTCTCTCTCTCTCTCTCTCTCTCTCTCTCTCTCCTTTCCCCTCTCTCCAAAAAAAAAAAGACCCAATAAAAACATATCCTCCGGTGAGGATTCAAAATCAAAACACTAAAACAGAACTAATGTTTAAAACTGCAATCCAAGAAAATTTTAAAAAAGGAAGAAAATGGCATCACTTGTGCTACATAAAAGCCAGTGACATCAAACCTGGTTAATACCTTATCTGTTGCAGTTTTAACCTCTCCCAAAGACATAATCTTAATCAGCCAGTATGGAATTCTGGCCAAGCACCAGTGAGGTAATGTCACCCGGGCCCTCTACCCCCACAGAAAGAAGAGTCAATCTGCATGATAAGAATGCTGTATTTTTTAAATCAGAAAAGTAAAACAATTTCCACTTTAGAAAAAAAAAGACAATAAAAAAACCAAACCCAAAAAATCAATGGAGGGTCACTAGAAATGTTTAGAAATAATAAGTGAGAAAAATAGGTCACAAACAGTATTTTAGACACTTAATATTAGTTCATTTAATGTTATGTGTACTTGATATTTTGAAAAATTCTGGAATGAAAATGTTCCACCATTAAAAATTCTATCCCTAGGTGGTATGATTTACGGGTAGTTTTTATTAATTTGTATGCATTACATATGGAAGTGGGGATGGGGGATATGAGAATATTAACCCTTATTGAAGACAGAAGTATGCAGTTGTCTTCAGTAACATTATTCTTATCTTTGGAAGTAGTAGCTATTTTTCTGGAATGTAGGGGTAGATACTAAGAGAAAAGAGCTCTTCTCTACTTTTGTTATAGATGTGAGTTCAGTGGTCCAAAGCAGCCGGTGTGCCGCAATAATTTTTAAAGCGTGCAACACCTGACCATTTGGTCAGGGACACTGATCTCTTTTCCCTTAGATTGTCAAATAAAAAAATGGTAGCAGCTAACACAATAGCCGTCTGGTCTGAATGAATCAAAATTATACCTATTTTTTTTGTCAGATTGTCAAAAACTATATTTTTTGGTGTGCTGCAGAATTCTAGTAAAGAGTTTATGTGTGCCATGAGATGAAAAAAGTTGAAAATCACTGGTCCAGAGGATTTTTTTGTTTCGTAAATGGCTGCTTTATTCGTAGGCAGCTGCATTGATCATTGATCTGAGTCTGTGCCTCCTCCAGGTGCTGCACTATCTGGCAATGCAGAAACCTGCAGACCTCGCTCGGCACCTGCTACCTTGTGTAATTCATGCAGCCGTCCTCAAGGTAAAGGAAGAAGGTAAATGTCTTACTTGAATAGTAATTAGTTCATTTCTAAAATGAAAGTGTATTTTGTCTAACTTATTTAATGATGGTTTTGATCTTTCTCATAGAAAGTCTGGAAAACATTTCTTCCGTTAAGAAGATTATCAAGCAGATAATATCCCATTCCAGCAAAGTCCTGCACTTTCCCAACCCGGAAGACAAGAAACTAGAAGTAAGTTGGGTGACTGTCAGCATCTCGACAAGTACTGTCTCTTCCCAGTGGGCAGTACTTACTTTCAAGAAACATTTTAAAAGGCTTTGCCTTTCTTTGCTGTTTTTCAGTGTTACGACTTTCTCTTTTCTACTGTTAGGAAATCATCCATCAAATTACTAATGTGGAAGCCCTAATTGCTAGAGCCCGCTCACTGAAAGCCAAGTTTGGAACTGAGAAATGTGAACAAGAGGAGGAAAAGGAAGATCTCGAAAGGTAATTGCTATTTGACACGCTCATTTTTGTCTGCAGTAGGAAAATACACCACTGCTTTAGAATATTTTAATGAAATATTGAGATTCTTTGTGATACTCTCCTATTATTTGCCAGCATTAGCCAGATTCAGAGAAATAATTATCATAGGATTTGACCTCTGCCGTATTTCTGAGTACTTTCTAGGTGTTTCCATTGCTCCCACTTGCAGAACCAAGTCTACCAGGTCTCTCTTCCCAGCAAAGTCCTTGTTTGCTCCCGGAGGCGTGGTGCCTGCACCTGAGGAGAAGCCATTATTGACGCTGTCACTAGCAGTGCCCAGAGCTTTGCTTTCAGCTCTCACTGTTCCTTAACCACAGTCTGAGGGATTCTGCAACTATAATTCTGCTCAATATTCATTTAATTTTTTAAAAATACCTGTGAGAGCAAAGGTGCATTTACTGTCCACCTTGCAGATATGTTTGGAGAGTGACTGGTAGCCTCTCCAGGATGAGACAAATGACTGGGCCGGTCTTCTCCTGGCAGCATCGTTATCAAGGGAGCCTTCAGTGTGCGCCCCTGTCTGTTTGTGCCCATTGAAAGGACATGTTGCTTTAATGTGTGATAAAGTGTTTCCAAATTAGCTACTTCAGTAGCTTGAATTTGTTATAATGTTAACATCGTCAGTAGCCTTTTCACAAGGAATGGCATTATTGATGCTAGAAAATTAATAGTCTATGACAAGGCATTTGCTTTAGCTTCTCACAAGATTTTGTTTGAATTTTATATCTTTTGTTGAGTGAAATTTTCTCCCAGCTTTCTTTGTTCTTGAAAATGCCTTTTTTTTCCTTTTCTGGATCCACTCTGTTCATCAGTTTATTTTGTTAATTAGATTCCACATATGAGTGAGATTATGTGATACTTGTCTTCCTCTGACTGCTTATTTCACTTAACATAATACTCTCCAGGTCCCTCCATGCTGTCTTAAAGGGTAAAAGATCCTTTTCTTTTTTTTTCTTTTTTTTTTTATAGTATTCCACAGTGTAAATGTACCACAGTTATAGTATTCCACAGTGTAAATGTACCACAGTTTTTTTATCCACTCATCTACTGATGGGCACTTGTACTGTTTTGAACATGGTGCATGTTTTTTCTGATTGGTGTTTTGGGTCTCTTAGGATAGATTCCTAGAAGTGGGATCACTAGGTCAAATGGTAGTTCCATATTTAATTTTTTGAGGAAACTCCATACTGTTTTCCATAATGACTGCACCAGTCTGTAATCCCACCAGCAGTGTGGTAGGGTTTCCTTTTCTCCACATCCTCACCAGCTTGTCATTTGTTAATTTGTTGATAGTAGCCATTCTGACAGGTGTGAGGTGATACCTCATTGTTACTTTAATTTGCATCTCTCTGATGATCAGTGAGTTTGAGCATTTTTTCATATGCCTCTTGACCATCTGTATGTCCACTTTGAAGAGGTGTCTGTTTAGGTCCTTTGCCCATTTTTTGATTGGATTGTTTGTCTTCATTTTGTTAAGTCATATGAGTTCCTTATATATTTTGGATATTAACCCTTTGTCAGATGTATCTTTGCCAAATATGTTCTCCGATACAATAGGCTCCCTTTTCATTTTGTTGATGGTTTCTTTTGCTGTGCAGAAGCTTTTTATTAGATGTAGTCTCATTTGTTTATTTCTTCCTTAGTTTCCTTTGCTCAGGAGATACAGCCATAAACATATTACTACGAGAGATGTCTGAGATTTTGCTGCCTAGGGTTTCTTCGACTTACATTTAAGTCTTTTATCCATTTTGAGTTTATTCTTGTGTAAGTTGGTGATCTAGTTTCATTTTTTGGCATGTATCTGTCCAGTTTTCCCAACATCATTTATTGAAGAGACTGTCCTGACTCCATTGTATACTCTTGCCTCCTTTGTCAAATATTAATTTAGCATAATGGAAAATGCCTTTCTTTTAAATGAGAAGAAGTCAGTGAGCAGGCAGTGCATGCCTGGCGGTTCTGCCTTCGACTCTCTTAGCTCTACTCTAGAGATCTGAGATGGACTTGGCAGTATAGTACAGTATTTGCAGCACAAAATGGCACTGTTTATAGTCATGACACTGCCCAGCAAAACCTGTTTATAGTCATGACACTGCCCAGCAAAACATGCATTTTGTACATGCATGCACACATGCACTTAGTGGCTTGGTTAATTGGAGCATCACCCTGTGCACCAAAAGGTTGTGGTTCGATTACTGGTCAGGGCACATACCTAGGTTGTGGGTTCAATCCTCTGTTGGGGCATGGACAGGAGGCAACTGCTCCATGTTTCTTTCCCTCTTCCCCTTCCTCTCACTCTCTCAAATCAATTAAAAAACAAACATATCCTTGAGTAAGGATTAAAAATATTAATATTTTTAAAAGAATAAAAACAAGAAACATGAATCATTGCTTTGTTCTATAAATGAAACTTGGTTTTTGTTATCAACTTTTACTGAATATTTCTTCTTACACTTTGACAGAGATGGGCTGTTCACAGATTTTATGAACACACTTCAAAGGTAGTAAGAATTGTCATTTGAGTCGATTTTAATTCAAATATCAATATATCCTGTTACAAAGTTCCACTCCACATGAATTCGTGCACCTGGCCTCTAGTCCTATATAATAAAGGCTAATATGCAAATTTTCCCTTCGACTAGGAGTTCAACCAGGGGGCGGGCCCAGCTGACCAACCTCCCACATCCCCTCTTCCCAGCCAGCCAGACCCCACCTGTGCACGAATTCATGCACTGGGCCTCTAGTATTATATAATTTATTATTCTTGTTGTCTACACAATATAATTATGTTTTTACATCAATAACTATAAGAGTGTATCATCTTTTCAGGGCCTCATCATATAGCCAATCTGAAATTGTTCATTCATCCCACATTATGTAATTGTAAAAGATTTCAAACTTCCATACCTTGTGGTGAATGTTTCAGGGAATTGGCAGACTAATCCATAAAACAAGCACTTGGTTGGTACATTTCTAAACTCAGTCCTTAAATGCCTGGTTAATGAAAACCATTCAAGTTTATTCATGTAACTTTTTTTTTTTCATAACTGACATTGTATATCAGTTTACTAATATAGGCACACAGTAATTTTATATATTCATACATTTTAGCCCTGGCCAGTCTAGCCCAGCAGTTAGAGTGTTTGCCTGAGCACCAAGGGGTCGTGGATTCGATTCCTGATTGAGGGCATGTACCTGGGTTTCAGGTTCACTCCCTGGCCCCTGTCCAGGCAGGTGCAGGAGGCAACCAATCAGTGTGTCTCCCTCACATCGATGCTTTTCTCTCTCTCCTCCCCCCCCCCCTTGCACTCTCTCTAAAAATCAATGGAAAAAATATCCATTGGTGAGAATTAACCAAAAAAAAAAAAAATCATACATTTTTGTTGTTGTTGTTGTTTTTGTTAATCCTCACCTGAGGATATTTTTCCATGGGTTTCTTTTTTTTTTTTTTTTTTAGGGAAAGACAGAGAGAAATATCAATGTGAGAGAAGCACATCGATTGGTTGCCTCCTGCACAAGCCCTGACCAGGGCCTGAGCTGGGGCGGAGCCTGCAACCGAGGTACATGCCCTTGATCGGAATCAAACTCGGGACCCTTGAGTCCACAGGCCAACACTCTATCCACTGAGCCAAACCGGCTAGAGGGAAAAAAAAACCATACATTTTAATTAACTTCATGATTATATGTTTCAGTGGTATATACGTAAATGGATTCAGCAAATAAAGCACTGATTTGATTTTGCTTCATTCTTGCTAAATTGAATAACTCTGAGACCTTTCCTTAAATCTATTGGATTATCTATTTTTCAAGACATGAACACATTTTTTTAGCATCTTAATTTTTCAGTAAAACTCATAGATTCTTTTCCTGGCCAGTATGGCTCAGTGGTTGAGCATGGACCCATGAATGAAGAGGTCACTGGTTCGATTCCTAGTCAGGGCACAGGCTCAGGTTATGGGCTTGATCCTCACCCAGGAGGGGGTGTGCAGGAGGCAGCCGATAGATGATATTTCGCTCATTGATGTTTCCATCTCTCTATCCCTCTCCCTTCCTCTCTCTCTTAAAAAAAATCAATAAAAACTTACTTTTTTGAAAGTGGTAGATTTTTGTTAAATAATTTTCCCATTAAATGACATTCTGTATATCACCTGTTGAGCCATCAGATGCATGAGTAGTGGGTATGTCTGCTCAGTTTGATAACTAGGTGTGTTGTATGTTTGTCTTGATAATTCTTTTGATAGAATCATGTTCCTTAATATAGTGCATGCTGTCTGAAATAATCTTGAAATTCCTTGTCTCTTTTTAAAACCATCTTGCTTGTTTTTGTTTCCCTTTCATCACTGATTCTTTTCTCACTCTTTCTCAAGCTGACTGAATCTTCTGATGAGGTAACAAACAGCCTTGTCCCTCATAGTTTCTTGTTCCTTCCCCTCCCTCTAACTTCGTGAGATCACCTTTCTAGCCTCTGTGAGAACCAACTCCATTGCTTGACTGAGGACATCAGACTCTCTTGGGTCTTTGCTAGAAGAAACACAGAAACCAGCACATTTTCCCTCTTCCTCAGATGTGTGAATATGGCCCCCACTTTTCGAAGCAGATTGCCCGGTAGTCATTATCCCTTCTGTCTCTCTCCCCAATTTATTTGTGATCTCTGACTGCTCATGTCGTGTTTCAAACCTCTTGTATTTTCTGTGTTGTGTTCTCGAGTAGTCATAACATAATTGACAACATTACTGAATAATGTAGAACATTTTTCTGTATTTATCATGTTTATTCATCTGTCCTTCATAGTGATGTAATTTTAGCACCAACTTGATCTTGAATTTAGCATTTGATTCTATTCAAGGCTGCAGCCATGGCTCCACCTGAGGAGGAACTGAAGAGAATGGGCTCTGCAGAGGAGAGAAGGCAGAACTTGGTGTCAGACTTCCCACCCCCTGCTGGCCGGGAACTCATTCTGCGCACCACCGTGCCCCGCCCCGCCCCCTACTCCCGAGCTCTGCCTCAGCGCATGTACAGTGTTCTCACCAAAGAGGATTTCCGACTGGCAGGTGCTTTTTCATCAGATACCTCCTTCTTCTAGTTCTTCCTGGGCCACCCCATTGTGACTTCAAAGCCAGTGCTGACCCCTTCTGTGGGAAGGAGGTTGTGCTGGTCGGAACCTGGGAGGCATGAAGAGGGCCTGTCCAGTTGAATGATCAAGCGTCGTACTGGCATCTGAAAGACTTTCTGGTGCCAAGCTTGGGAAGGGTAGTAGCTTGTGGGGTCCGAGGTCGTGGGCTTGAACTATTGAAAGATTTCTTCCCCAAAGAGATGGCCCTTGGGGTGGGGTTGGGGACCAAAAAATGCAGGAGCTCTCTGTACTCACTCTGTTGTGTTCAAGATTGTGTTCATTTATTCTTTCTGTGACTGTCCCTTAGGCTGTTGCCTTGCATTTATAGTCTGTGCAAACACTTCTTATTTTTATTAGTATCAAGTATGCAAAGTAGAGAATCTGTTAACTCAGATTTCTGGGTGTTTGGGAGGTAGAATCTATTCCCAGAATCTGTGTTTTTAATATATTAAATGGCATTCTGTTTATTCAATCACCTGGTCACCATTTTTATTATGCTAATTAACTTTCGATGAGCATTTTTAATATTCTAGGAGAAATCCTAGAGTTTCACATAGATATGTGTTTTTCCATATATGACCTAAATGTATTCCTTCTGATAAGACTATATTAAATGTCACTGCAAATTAGTTTGATACCTACTAGTATCTTGTAAGGCTTCTCTTACTTGTTTTGTTTTGGGTGCCATGTAAAAAGATAGCCTGAAAATTATTGTTCTCTCCTTCCCTTGTAGTTCAGTATGCATTCCTTTTGTGTGGTTGATAGTTGGATACCATCTCTAATGAAGTATAACAAAAATACAGTCTTGGTACATAGAGATTATCATGCAGTTAGTATAATTTGGTGTATATGCTATTGTAATGAATAGAAGATTATTTCAGTGAACTATTTTACTTTTGTATTTTAGTTAAAATGAAAATAATTGATGGGGATGTGGAGTAGGACTAGCATAAGGACAACCACAGAATACTTCTAGTTGTCTGATGATCAATACTTATTATGTCTGTGTTGCTATAGGGCCTTTGTTCAGTAATTTAAAATCTATTTTTAGGCCTAGAGTTCCCACTTTAATCCAAAGTAAAAAATGCTTATAATGAAGCATAGGCCTTGCTGTGAAACTTTAAAGACTTAATAGATCTGTGTAAACCTGTTATATTATTTTTGTAAAAAAAAAAAAAAAAAGTATGTGTGCACATATTTCTTGCAGGAATCTCAAGAATATTCTTGTCTTTTTTAAAATGGAACTTACCCCATTTTACTTTTATTATAGTTAAGTGTTTATTTCACAGGTATTTTTAAGAAATAAAAACCAGGTACTGCCGAAACCGGTTTGGCTCAGTGGATAGAGCGTCGGCTTGCGGACTGAAAGGTCCCAGGTTCGATTCCGGTCAAGGGCATGTACCTGGGTTGCGGGCACATCCCCAGATGGAGATGTGCAGGAGGCAGCTGATCGATGTTCCTCTCTCATCGATGTTTCTAACTGTCTATCTCTCTCCCTTCCTCTCTGTAGAAAATCAATAAAATATATTTTTTAAAAAAATAAATAAATAAATAAAATAAAATAAAATAAAATAAAATAAAATAAAATAAAAACCAGGTACTATACTAGGCATTGAAAACAAAACAGAAACCAGAACTCCCTGCTCCTTTCAGAGACCTTCGTGTCACTAGGGAAGGCTGATACCACACTGCCATAAAGTGGAGAGCACAGCCCACCAGCTATGCATGGGAGGTCCAGCATGTACCATATCACTGTATTCATTCACTCATTGGCATGGAGAGTAATACAGGCAATAACAGTGATGCAGGTGAGGTCTTGTGGGAGAGGTTGCTCACTCACGCTAGGGATTAGGAGAATCTGTCTAGATTGAGAGCAGAAGGTGAGTAGGAGCTGACAAAGAGGGGGAAAGAACTACAGTAATTCCCCATCCTCACGTGTTTGCCCTAATTTATTGGGATTTTACCACTGCTCCCATCACGTGGAATTTGTTTTTCCACCCCTTCAGTCTGGACTTAGCCCTGTCTTTCTTTCATCAGTGACTGTTAGCAAGCGCGACAGGGGCCAAGAGTTGAAAGTACTTGCACACTGGGCTGCCTTCTCCTCCTGCAGGAACCTGAGACATGTGAAGGGCCCACTGAAGGACATTGGGGAGGTTTGTGATGCAGAAGTTCCTGATGCAGGAGGGGATAGGAAGTGTTTTAGGTGAGGAAATGGAATGAACCAAAACTCAGAAGCAAAAGAAACTGTGTCTTGAGAGAAGAGCCAGCATTTCCACTTGTGCGGAATGTGGCACCCAGTGTGTGAAGAGGCAAGAGATGAAGATGGTACGGGGAATAGGTGAGATCAGGGTGTTGTGTGTGACCTCCGCGAGGATTGCGGGCCTTATCCTCGGGGCAGGGTGAGTCGCTGAGGAGTTTTAAGCAAGGGTGTGCGGGGTCAGATGGTAATTTAGCAGGACAAACAGATTGGGGAGTCTGGGAAAGTGTGCACTCCTAGTTCTTGCACTAAATTGGAAAGTAGCAATGATATGGTCGGTGTTTTTTCCTCTTTTGTGCTTTGTACTGTGCTGCAGAGCCTGACAAATGTGCACGGCACCCACGTGACGTCCTCACGCAGGCCCTCCCACGCCTGTGTGTTCCTATACCACCAGGATAATTCGGATTTCTCTGCAGGTTGGGATTTTGTAAAGTCCAGTAAGCATTTATATTTATTTTCCATTCAGCAAGTGTTTATTGAGTGCCATCTCTGTGCCAGGCACTGTTCTGGGCAACAAGAATTCAGCAGTGAGCAGGGAAGATGAAAGACCGTCATGGACATGACAGGAAAGGACACCGGGGGGAGGGGGAAGGGCTTTGTGGACGGGGGACAGGGAAGGCCTGAGTGGTGACATTTGAGCAGAGACCTGCAAGGAGTGAAGGGTGGCGCCTCAAGAGTGTCTGGCAGATGATTCTAGGCGGGGCTAGTGAGTCAAGCCGAGGGGGATCAGCTGGGTTTGTTGGAGGCACAGAGAAAGAGCCAGTGTGGTTAGAGTTCACGAAGGGAAGAGCGTGCAGGGAGGGAAGGGACCAAATTACACAAAGCACTAGGATTCTGTCCACCTGACTGAAGGGGAAGCCAGTGGAGAATCGTGGATGGACTCGTGATCAGACATGAGAGTCCTCCCTCTGGCTGCTGTGGAGGATGCACTGCAGAGGCAGGGGTGGAAGCAGGAGGAGAAAGGTTGCCAGAGGAACCACCTAGGTAGTAGGAAAAGATAGAAATATGTTCTAGGAGCCAAGAATGAAAAATAGTTGAAGGAGGTGGGGTTGATCAACTGTGTCAAATGCCATTAAGGTGCCAGGTAAGAAGAGGACTAAGAATTGGCCGTTGCATACCTGTGTGTGCAGAGTAGCAAATGCAGTCCCAGAGGTCATGCAGTTCACACTGGGAAGGAACAGGAGCGCCTGAGGGAATTTGTCCCCTGACCTGAGTGCCCATCACGCTTCTGCCCAAGCCAGAACAGGTGTGGTCGCTGCTGTTTCTTGCCAGGAACTGGGGGGCAGGAGCACAAAGTCACTGTCTAGTTATTTTCAAGCCAATGATAATCCTAGTCCCTGCCGACTGTTGCTGCCAGCTCCTTCCTTCTGGGCAAGCAAGCTAATGGAGAGGGCTTGACACTCAACAAATTCTGGAGGGATGATGTATGGATGGATGGATGATGGGTGGATGGATGATGAAAGGATGGATGATGGATGGATTATATGTGGGTGGATGGATTATGGGTGGGTGGATGGATTATGGGTGGGTGGATGGATGATGGATGGATGCCTCTTGATGGCAAATGAGGCCCAACTGTTGTGTTTGAATCTCTGAACTCATATTTGGCATTGGGCACCATAAACCAGAATGTTTCAGAATATTAGCTCCTGAAAGGCAGCATTTCTCTAGCTGAGATGGGCTGGGCATCAGCCTGAGAAAGGGGGCGTGGCTAATCTCAAAATACAAAATAAAGCTAGTTCATAGCAGCACGACTTCTTCGCCAGCAATTTTTCACCTGGCAACTTATGCTCTCTGGCAGGTAGTCACGCAGGAATCTGCCCCTCACCCTGCAACAGGCTCACCTACTGCAGGCAGCTTTCCTGGGCCAAGCTTACCCGAGGAAGGGGCTGAAAAGAAGGCCCCACCTGGCCCCTTCTGGGAGAGGGCAGGAGCGTAGTGGCTCCGGCTTAGTCTCTGGGAAATGCTCCTCTTGTCCCTCACCAGGCCAGCCTCCCATCCGGGCAGCAGGCGAGTTCTTGCGTTCTCAGCAGCTGTAGACAGAGATCTTGGTGCAGCTCAAAGTCTCACTTCCTGCTGCCTCCTAGCCAAGGGAATGTCGTGAAGGGGGTGACATTTCTTCCCTATCAGGTTGAAAAAAACTAGATTCTTTTTCCATCCAAAAACCCTGATCGAATATTTGTTTTTTGTTTTAAGTTTGTATGTTTGTCATCATCTTGGTCCCAGAATAAGGTGGGCCAGTGACTTGTGAGGCAGAATGTGTGCAGGAAGGGCCGTCTCATGCTGCACGAGTTGCTAGTTGGGGTCAAAGCTGGAGAGTTGACCGTAGTACTCAGGCCTGTGATGAAAGGTGTAAGCCACTGTGTTAGTTTCCTGTGGCTGCTGTAACAAGTATCACCAGCGGGGGTTACAGAGGCTACAGTCTGGAAGCAAGGTGCTGGCAGGGCCATGCTCCCTCTGAAACCTGTAGGGGAGGACCCATCCTTGCCTTGTGCTAGCTGCTGGTGGTTGCAGGCAGCCTTGGCATTCCTTGCCTTGCAGCTGCAGCACTTCTGCCCGTCATCACATGGCCGTCTCCCCTGTGTATCTGTCTCATGACAGCAGCCACCCTGCTGCAGGGTGACCTCACCTGCAGGGATTACTTCTGCAATGATCCTGTTTCCCAACAGGCTACATCCGAGGGACTGGGGTTAGGACCTCAACAAAGCTTTCTTGGGGGTCACATTAACCATAAAAACATCCTTCACAAAGCCAGCCCGCTCCCCCCCTCCCCCAGCTGCTGTGGGCCATGGAGCTGGTGGCCTTACTAACCAGCCTCAAGACTCTGGGCTGGGACCTAACCTCTTCTAATGCCAAAATGGGGACCAAAAAAAAAGTACCAACCAGGCTGTTCAAAAATGAAACAATCTGAGAAGCGCCCAGCACGGTGCCCGGTGCAGGATACATAGGGTTTGCATAAACTGGCCCAAGCGGCCCAGTTGTACACGAGTGAGTGGTTAGCTGTTGGACACAGGCTCCGCTGCGACGTGAGGACAGCTGCCCTGCCGCAGTCACAGGACTGCGAGGAGGGCGACTTAGAAATCTACCCTCTCAGCAAATGAACTGCTTTCTGTTGACCCCTTTCCCGTCCATGGAGGAAGTTACGATTACAGGCTGAGGAGACTGGTGAGGTGAAGGTCAGGGGTGGGATTCAGGCAGTGGCATCGCACATGCCA